ACGTCACAGTCCCCTGCTTTGGATTTTCCTCGTCTACCAAACGGAGGAACAGAGCATTTGACATTTCAACCATCACAGAGAGAGAGAGAGAGAGAGAGAGAGAGAGAGAGAGAGAGAGAGGGGCATGACCGCTAACCTGGCACGAGATGGGCCCATTGAGATCGTCGCGCAACAGGTAATGGAAGAAATCGTCGAGCGTGAGGCCCTGCTTGCGGTCGGGGACCAGCTGGAACTTGGTGTGGAGGACCTGCTCCACCACGCGGTCCGCCTCCGACGCCGCCGCGGCGGGCTCGCACTGGTGCTCCACCATGAACCGCCGCAGCTGGTCTGGGCCCATGTGGGGCCCGCCGCCGGAGAACCTGAGGAAGGCCTCCTTGACGTCCTGGGGGGGCTCGATCTCGGTGATCTTGAACTTCCGGTTGAAGTACTTGAACATCTTGTAGTTGTAGCTCCCGTTCGACGATGCCATCGTGCCCCGATCGATCTGCTCCTCTGTTCCTTTCCCCTCCTTCCTTTCTTCGCAGAGATTGGAGGTGAGAGAGAGAGAGGGAGGGAGGGAGAGGTTGCAGGGAGGTTGCAGGGGATTGGAGGAAGAAGAAGAAGAGCGACGAGGCCTACGTTCGAGGAGTATTTGTTGCCGAGAATCGTTGGACTTTCGACGTGTCCGACGTTAGCCGCGAAGTTTTTTTTACATCCTCTCTCCCATTAAAACGGAACTTTAAAGTTTTGTTTGGTTACATTACGAGATAATTAAATAAATGCTCCCCGAAACTTTTACCCAACGTATAATACGGTCCATGACCTTTTAATTTATTCAATACGATCCTCGAATCTTTAGCCTAATATATAATTTGATCTCTAAAATTTTGATACACATTCAATCTAGTCCATCAACTGTTTAATGATGTCATTCTATTAATTCAAGTTCAGGAATAACATTGAATATTTGGACTCAATTGAATATATACCAAAAGTCCATAGATCATATTTAATAAATTGAAACTTCAAGAATGATATTGCACGTTGGGCTAAAGTTCAGGAACTATATTATACGTTGAACTGAATTTCAAGGATCATATTACATATTAGGTCAAAATTTAAGAGTCATTTGTGTCATTTATCCTATTATTGTTGACCTCCATGTAGAAATTAGTTCATGCGTTACACTTTTTTTCTTTTGCTGGCACAAAATTTCAACGTTATTTTATGGGGTGCGGTGCACATCTTTTCATCGTATTGTACCCCGAATATGCATCTGGTTTATATTTATTAAAATACAGAGCCGGCGGATGCAGCAAATTATTATTAAACAAAAAAAAAAGAAGTTGTAAAGAATGCCGTGAATCAAAAATAAAAAATAAAAAAAGAGAAGAAAAAAAAGAAAAAGTCCTTCCCGCTTTATCATAAAAATAAAATAGAATTAAAGTGGAAAGAAAAGACAACTCTTTCGTACATAAAAAAGAAAAAGTAGTAGCTAAAAGTTGTGCGTGTATCGGTTAGCGACGCACTAGCGTGGACGCTAAGGACATACCCTCATCAACTCCACTTGGTAGGCTGATAAATTATGTCTCGAATTTAAGTTACAAAAGAAACTCGATTCAAGTGAGTTTTCTAACTTGAATTAGGGATAATCGGTTCTTGGATGCGCTGTTATAGACCTAAAACATGGAATCAATCCTGTGACGCCCATTTTCGACATTTGAAACTGTAGTTCCTAAGTAGAATCAAGAATCGGCTTGATTTTTTTTGTTTTGTGTAAAAATGATATTTTTATAATAGGGTATAAAAAGTTAAACCGTTTATTTAGAAAAGCATGTGTTGGTCTAGTGATTGTGTTATTTATTCACATTGAAGATGATTGTTCAAGTCTCAGGTGGATGCAAAAATATTTTTTTTCTCCAAAACAAGTTTCGAAATCGATTCTATCCGGAAACCGAAAGGCCTTGGAACTGGTCCTAGAGAAGTTCACAGAATCCGCTTTGAATGTAATTGCGCTTGCAAAAAACTTTATAGTATTTGAGTAATTTAGGTGTGATTGTAATCTTCACTGTATTGACTGATCGATAGTGAGATCGCTTACTACTCTTCTAATGGAATATGTTCCACGGACCGAACCAAGCAAATCCAGTTTTATTCATCTTGTCATCCCGTTTATTTCAATGTTCGATCGTTTGTTTTTTGCACCAGCATATTGCAACGTAAGAAGCTTGATGGATCGATCAAACACGAAAGTTTTTGAACGCGGTGTAAAGCAGAACCGAAACGATCTCACAAGATTAATCATTCACGTACGAGTTCCTCCCTCAATCATTGAGCGAGATACGTGAGGTTGCATTTTCACATTGGTGAAGAGGCCACGGTTCATAAGATACAAACCCAGATTTGAGAACATGGAATGCTATGCACATTCGGACCATCATCGACAAGTCTTGGTCATTTTTTTTTAGGGTTAATATCACGAAAAACCTCAAACTGGTACACCTATGATAAATTTACCCCAAACTATTTTTTTGACTACAAAAAACCCTAAACTGGTACACTTGTGATAATTTTACCCCGAACTATTTTTTTGACCACCAAAAACCCCACACTAGAACACCTGTGACAATTTTACTCTGAACTAATTTTTTGACCACAAAAAACCCCAAACCGGTACACCTGTGACAAATTTACCCTCCGTTAGTTTTCGTTAAATTTTATTGTCAAATTGCTAAGTTTGATGACATATGGTAGTTGGCGTGTATACCAGTTTGGGGTTCTACTCCTCTGTTTGTCATAAGTTTACCAATTTGTGATTTTTCGTGATATTAATCCAATTTAACAGACACTAATGGAAGGTAAATTTATCACAAATGTACCAGTTTTGGGCTTTTAGTGTTCAAAAAATTAGTTTTGGGTAAAATTATCACAGGTGTACCAGTTTAAGGTTTTTGGTGGTCAAAAAATTAATTCGGGGTAAAATTGTCACAAGTGTACCAGTGTGAGGTTTTTTGTGGTCAAAAAAATAGTTCAGGGTGAATTTGTCGCAAGTGTACCAATTTGAGGTTTTTGGTGGTGAAAAAAATTAGTTCGGGGTAAAATTGTCACAGGTGTACCAGTTTGGGGTTTTTCGTTATATTAACCCTTCTTTCTATCCTTTTGATTCCAAAAAGTTTTAGGGTGCATTTGATAACGATTCTGTTCCCGAAAATAATTTTTATTCAGAAAATGATTCTTTTTGATTCCGTGCCCGAGAACAATTTTTAAGCATTTGAAAATGCTTGGTAATTGCCCAAAATTTCTATTTTTGGAATAGAAAAAGAACAGAAATACGTTTAATAACTGTACAAAATTTCTTTTTATTAATAATATTTTGAATTTTTTAATATTTCTTTCTTTTTATTTTTCTTCTTCTTCCCATTCGTTGGCCATGGCTAGGTCGCTGGCGCCAACGATCGGCCACAGACTAGGGCTGGTGAGGGCGGCTTGCGGCTTGGGCGAGTGTGGCCCTCGCCGGATCTGGCGAGGGCGGCAGCAAGGGTCACCCACACTAGATCCGGCAAGGGCGGCCCTCGCCCAGACGGCAAGGGTCTAACCCTCGCCCTCGCCCTCGCCCTCGCCGGCCTTGGCCTGTGGCCGGTCGTTAGTCGAAGAAGAAGAAGAAGAAAATTCTTTTTCATTTATGATTCTTGTTCCCAGAATCAAAAAATAACTTTTTTTTGATTTTTGATTATATTCCAAAACTTATTTGGGAACAAATATTTGCAAATTTGTGCCCGGAAATAAAAAATTTACCGAACGAATTTATGTTTCAAAAACTGATTCTAGGAACAAAAGACTATAAATAATTACTGTTTGGCCGGTTGCCAAACGTGCACTTAACCATTTGCACGTGTCGTCAACCTTTTCGATTTGTTTCAATTTAAATTAGATCAATAGAACAATAATGAACACTATAATTGCACATTATTCCCCGTCGATGTAACTGGGACAGTAGCTATGTGGTGAAAATGAATCTGGCTCTGGATACGTACACGTTGGAATGCGTAGCCAGCCAGCCAGGACAAGATCTAGATGATTACAATAATTTAAGTACATATGGTGGAGTGAATATCTAGACCGAGTCTGAACGTCAAGAACGCCGGACTTAGATTTCGTTCATATGCAATTATTACAATACCCGTTTTCATATTTGCTTATACAGGTGATGTTGAACAAGTTAGGAGTAACCGCACACGCCATCTCAGTGGCGATCCGGATTTTGCCGTGAAACCTATTAAAATAAGTCATAGACCCATTTCTTAACTCATATTAGATAGATTGGGTTGTTATATGTGTTGGTTATAATTAATAAATGGATCATAAATATTTTTAAAATGGCGAGACTCAAAATAATATAAGTGTTAAATTGTCTCATAACTTAAAACCAACCTACTTCTATGACTTTCTCCCGCTCTCACTCGATTTCAAGCTCGCTCACTCCTTACTCTCACTTTAGTTTGGGTATGAGTTTTCTTAAATTTTATTAAACGTGAAAGTATTTTGGTCGGTCGAGTATGGATTGAGTATGTGTTGGGTTAGATATGGATCACTAAATCTGTATTGCATGAAAATGAGACAGAACGGGTTAAATGGATCAATTTGGGTATGACTATTTTCGATCAGATCCGACTCACCCATTTGACAGGTTTAATTACCAGAGAAATAGTGCGTCCGCAATAGAATGATCAATGCGACCCATAAACTACAGCTCATTTCAAGCGAGCCTGTCGCCGTTATCGCCACTGCGGTGGTAATGAAAGTAGAGCCGAGGTGTTAATCGTTGAAGGTACGAGCAGTAGCACGACATGACACGGGCCATCGGGAATGCCCCCACCACATTAATGGGCCGGTCCGGTCCGGGCCGGGCACGACATGGTTAAAGCCGGGTACGATGGGCCGTGGGCCTGGTCGGCCCGGCCCGATACGTCGGTCGTTCGCCGTTCCTTGTCGAAAGACGAAGACACGCCACCCAACCAAACAGTACGCGGTGAAAAACGGAAGAGGAAAGCAAGCCTGATCGAAGAGCTCGAGCTTCGCTCATGGCCGGCCGTTGACCATCGTCAAGCGCAGAGACGAGACGGTTGACCCACGAACACCCACGAAGCCCGCGCTCTCCTTCGCCGCGAGTTTCGACGAATTCCGGGGTAAAAGGCGGGAAATTTGAGCGCGGAGGAGGGGGAGGAGAGCGAAATTTGGAAATGGCCATGGCGACGAGGACGAGATGGGTCACGATCACGATGGCGTGGATCTTGGTCTTGTTCGGAACCCTTGCTCTCATCCAGGTGATTCAACAAGCTCAGCCTCGACCCGAATCCCACCCCTATTTCTCCTCCGGATAGTTCTGAAACTTCTTGACTCGTTTGTTTGTGCGTGTAGAACCGATTGAGCGACGCCGGAGCTTCGTCTGATCCGAAACTTGTTCATCGCAAAGTTGGTGCGGTAATTCCTTGCGTCTAAGTATATCGTTATTGATCCCATTTTGTCGAGAGATATGATAATTCCGTGCTTCTTTTTTTTTTTGTTTTCGGGTGGCTACTGACTGAGTGCGAGAGAGAATTAATGATGATGTTGTTCATGTTTTGCAGGTAAAGAAGGAGCCAGACGATTTGGAAGAGGTGACTCACAAGGTTTATTTCGATGTTGAGATTGGAGGAAAACCAGTGGGTATGCACCCTGTACAATTTAAGCTCATAGCTGAACAGATTCTTTGAATACTGCACTGAATTAAATAGCACGTATCATCGTCGCGGTAGAAATAATTGAGCTAGAATTTTGTGCATGAACATTCTCCTTTCTATGCACAGAAGTCAGTAAGAAGTAAGAACTGATTGAATCTGATTGCGATAGACATCCTTGCATAGAAATCTTTTCCTCGGCGTGGTTATTGTCCTCGAGTTAGTCAAATCTTTGGCGAGCTGGTTTCTTTTCCTTTTTGGGGATGCTGGATTTGGCAATGTGCTTTTCTGTTAGTTATGATTGGTCATTATATCTCTCGCTTTTAATTAAGGATTCACACCCGTCTTTTTGTGCATGGAAATCTTCTCCTGGGTGTAGTTATCATCCTCGAGTTAGTCAAATCTTTGGTGAGCCAGCTTGTTTTCCTTCTGGGAAGTTGGGTTTGGCAATGAGCGCTTTCTGGTTGTTATGATTGTTTGTTACATCTCTTGTTTTTTATTAAGAATTTGCACCCGTCTGTTGTGCCATGCTCTTCAGAATGATTAAGAGCCTGATTTTATATGAATCCATCTTTTGCTGCTAAAATTAAATTTCGAATCTCTTTGGTAGAAGGATCTTACTTCATTATGATTTGTATGCCTCCAGGTCGAATTGTCATGGGTCTCTTTGGCAAAACCGTCCCCAAAACAGTTGGTAAGAACCTATACGCACTATGCTTCACAATGTCGTGAATTATATGTGGAAATCTTATTTCTCATTTTTCTCGCTTGCTCTTCATCTTTGTTGTGCAGATAACTTCCGAGCTCTTTGCACGGGTAGCCAAGTGACATCTGCTTCCTTTTTGAATTTCCTTTAAACCCCTGAACACTCATGACCAAGTTGAAGGAAGAGGAATCGGCTTTTTGCTGAATGATTTCTCTACAAACTAATAATAAGAAAGAATCATACATGTGTAGAGAAGAGAGAGGTATCCCTAAATTGTTACTTCCTGCCTAAACATGTCAGGGTGTCTTTCCTAGATTATTATCAGTCTTATTGCAGGGGAGAAAGGGATTGGAAAGAGTGGGAAGCCCCTGCATTACAAAGGGAGCCAATTCCACAGGATCATTCCTAGCTTTATGATCCAGGGTGGTGACTTCACTCTTGGAGACGGGAGAGGGGGAGAGTCGATATACGGGAACAAATTTTCTGATGAAAACTTCAAATTGAAGCATACAGATGCAGGTATTTGCATAATTGGACTTCCTAGTGCTTTCCAAAGAATTGCGAAAAAGTTTGTAGTAACCCTGAAGTTAACTTCTTGTGCTGTGACCCATGAATAAGAACATTTAAAGGTTTAATTCTTTACCTTGTAACAGGGCGCCTTTCGATGGCAAATGCTGGGCCAGACACGAATGGGTCACAATTTTTCATTACCACTGTGACAACTAGTTGGTAATTGACTATCTTCCTTTACTCGTTTCTTTGATAAGCAACATTGTCACCTAATTCGTGGGACATTCAGCTCATTGCTGTTACTGTTGGAGATGTTGCCATGATTTGAATGAGTTTGAGGCTATCGTTAGCTTAATCTCAGACCTTGTAGGGGAAAAATGTGCGTATGCCTACTAACATCTTGGCAACTTTATCATGGATTATTGTCATAATCTAGTTAATCTGAGTTCTTTTGGTAATCTTTGGAGTTGTTAGGTTGATCATAAACTAAACCAAGGATTTAACTCCTTGCAATCTCTTGTAGGTTGGATGGCCGCCATGTTGTGTTTGGAAAGGTGCTGTCTGGAATGGATGTTGTCCGCAAGATTGAGGCTGAAGGGAGACAGAGCGGCCAACCCAAAAGTACAGTCGTCATTTCAGACAGCGGAGAATTGGCTCTATGAGCACTTCGCTCCGGATTGCACACGAATGTAGGGCTCAGGCATCATGTACTGCTTTGATGCGTATGAAGTTTTTTTATGGTGAAGAAAACGCGAGGCAATCTTGTTCATTGGATATTGGGACATACTTGAAAGAGCTTGGATAAGATCATAGAGGCCAGGAATACAGAGCACTACTCTGAGTCTGAATTGGAAGTTACATTAAATTAGCCGAATGAAATCTAGAAACGGAAATTTTTTTTCTGAAACTGGAAAGCAAATGATGTATTTCTCCTTTGTATTAATTAAAAATCTTCAATCCATTGTCCAAATGAGAAGAGTCATTTTTGGAGAATTTCATTTTATTAATAAATTCCAGCCGAATGAACGGGTAAAAACTGATGCCGACAGCACGATTTTTGCAACGAGTGAAAGCAATATTGGAACTGGAAACAATCTCTCTGAAAATGAAAGACAAAACAAAAGACTTTTGGTAAACCCAAAATGTTCCATGTACATCGAGAGTGGTTTTGTATAGTTCTGTGACCATTACTTGATTTGTAAATTGAGAAAAGTTCCTCTGTTTTCGCAAACTGGATGTTGCGGCTCTTGCTGTGGATTCCGCGCTCTTTAAGATTTGTGTTTACCTCGTTTCCAATGTGTCACAATCGCGTTAAACAAATTACTGTCACAGATAAAATCCTGAATTGAAGAAAACCCCGTAGTGTAGACGAACCCGAAAGAGCTGAAGAAGCAGCTGCGAAGAAAGAAACGTTTACTGAACGAGCAAATATGTTGGTGGAGCAGAGCTACATTGCGCCACTAATCCAACTTTTGCCAATTGAGAGTTAAGGATATACCCATCAGAATCAAGAGAAAAGTAAGTTCAAACTTATTGGGACATAAAAGAACAGCACGCTGGAAGCCGCTTAAGAATTAAAATTGCAGTAACAACACCCTTTCTGTCCATTGACATTAACTTAAACATGCGACAATATTGTTCTCAACGAGAGCGAAGGAAGATCGTGCAAATACGCACCCTTATGCCAATAAAGAAATGAAGATTCCGTCCATTGACTTGATCGCCAAAGCAATGGCTATCACAAGTAAAGACACCTACAAACAATCGGGGCTTATGCGCAATGACGATGGGTCGTCATTGGGAGATAAGGCCCTAAGTTCAGATCGGATGTGAGAAATTACACGGTTACCTCCCATAATGTGAGATTTATACCGAAGGGACATAGCAAGTATATGAATACAAGTAAGACAGCTAGAACAGATCGAGCTCTTTACATCAGATCAAAGTTGGGCGAAAGTCATTACAGCGCTCCTAAAGCGCAATCCATCTGTTCTTGCCCAGCAAATCTGATGAAATCAACACCCACGAACAAAGATAGAAGCCGGAGAATATCTGTTCATGGCAAACCCTAGTCAATCGTCATCCTAATTTGCAAACCCAAGGCAACTGGACCTTCAACAGCAAAGAATCGACTAAGAAATATCTCATGTGCATTAAATACAAAGTGCAGGTGAATAACAGGGAAAATGACCCTAAGTACCACTCTTGATGTCAACAATCTCAATTTGCAAAAATGGATTAACATTGACCTACCAACTCCCAAGAATTAACTACTTTTTGATTGGACCCCCATTACATAGGCTCAGTCACCAAACCCAAAGAACCGTCAACTTGCTCATGGTCAATATGAAATAAACCAAGAACTAGTTCTTTATATTAAGAGCACACTTGAGCAACATTCTGTCTGTGTCATGGCCAAAGCACAGCCAAATTTTGTTTACTTGTCTTCTGCATCATTGAGAGAGAGAGAGAGAGAGAGAGAGAGAGAGAGAGAGAGAGAGAGAGAGAGAGAGAGAGAGAGAGAGAGTTCTCCTGCTCCATATATGCTTATGTTCATTGCATCACTCAGGAGCAGGAATGTCAAAAACTTCGTTATCTAAGTGAAGGGACTTCTCAGTGCTGATCTACATCCTTCTCAAGTGGTGATATCTGAACAGGCATTGTGAGGGTATCATGGTCTTGCCAACCATAGATGAATGAGATTAATTACCGAGCAGAAGAAAGACTTCCCTCATGGATGGCCCATGCATTTGTAATTACCCAAACTATACCACATGCAACTACAAACCTATGGAGTGATGAGATATTGAGGTCAGTCCACGAGTCAGATATGGAAATAAAACCAGGATATTTTAAACGAAGCTCGGTACACAACCTCCCTTCATGATTTTTCCACATAACACCTGCTACTCCTATCATTTGGAATGACATTCTCCATAATGTCTTCACAGTGTTTTGAGCATAAACTTGCAGGATGCTAGTGACACTTTCATCATCAGTGAGATAGCTCACACAAGGCAGTCCACACCTAGTCTATCCTAATTTGCTACAGATTCTGCAATTTTCACTTTCCACTCCTCCTTTTCAAGAAACTGCCCGGGTAGTAAAGGACACTCATAGTCATGACTTTTGTTTGCAGCTACTATAGCTAATCAATTTCCTGCTTTCGTTTCATTTGATTGAAGACTGGAATCGTAATGCGATTTGATAACAGATCCAGGACTGAGACAAGTTAAGATTCCAGCGGAGAGCATTACCATAAGATATGATGATGAGGATTGAGGACTAGAGATTCTTAGTTTCCATTATGTGGTTTTGGCTTCATGCTTGATCTAAGGACTAAACAGAGAAAGCATTGTTTTAATTAACCAAAGTCCATTGCAATCTGCATTTCTGACTTGTAGTAGAAACAAATACATAGTGATACAGCTACCCCAGACAACTAAACATTACACAATACCTATTAAAGAGATTGGGGGGCTTCATATCAGGAAAGCTAATCACTTGTAGCAGGGCCTCTCAAGAATCACAATATCCACAGATAAAATCCATCCACAGATTACTTCAAGTCAGTCATCATGACGAGCACAGAATCTATTAAGAGCTCTCTCCAAACAGCTTCCACTATCCAAGAAAAACCTAATCATGCAGATAACAGAGACGGGTCACCAGACTCACCACTGTAGGATGTACTAGGGTTAAGCATACACCTAATGCGTATTATTCTTAAGATCTTTATCAAGTGGTTGGAATCAAATCATATTGAGGTTTCAGAAAAATCTGCCAGCATACTTGAGCTGGAGACCTAAAAATCCAGAGGCCTGAAACTAAAGCCTCCAAATCCTGCATCAGTTCCTAACACTTATGTTAATCTGATTGACATAACTCAGACTGCTTCCTTTGATCGCTGGGCCACTCAATCTACAGCAAAGGAGCCGACTTCGAAAAGAATTTAACCCTCCAACATCAAATCGTTCTATTGCCTAGTAAACTATCTGCAAAAAGCTAAATAAAACTACGCCCTTGCCGCATACACTCTGATCAAACTTTCCCTGCATCTTCTTAGAAAGCCGAGCTCGGTGTGCATCAAATTATCATTCATTTTTATCACATTTCAGGTTCACAATTACTAGAAACAGCAGTTACAAAGCAGACCCACGACACAGCCCAGAATGAGCATAGCAGAGTTTCTCTCCATCACTGACAACAAGACAAGAGGGACAACACAGAACGACGGGACTCGGACCCAGATACGAAGCAAAATATGATTTTTATTCCCAAGACGCTCAAAAGTCTCGTCAGCTAAGCACCAACCTTCATTCCTCCAGAAAAAAATTTTCCATTCAATAGAAAGAGTTTCGATAGGGCTCACGATTCGGGGCTGCTTTCTTTGGACGCAGGGTCGGCACCGTTCGCCTCTCGCCCGTGGAACGCGGTGGAGAAATCCGAGGAGAGATCGGAGTACAGCGAGACCACCTTCGATATGTTCTGGTTGATCTCCTGGATCAGAGCCACGTTCTTGACCATGTTGTCGGCGCTCTTGGACTGGTGGTTCTCGTTCACCTGCTGGATCAGGGCGCGGTTCCGGTCGAGCACGGTCTGGACCCGCCTGAAGCTCTGGTTGAACATCCGCCACACCTCGGGGTCGCACTCGAGGGCCTCGTCGGCCTCGTCGGGGGAGCCCCTCAGCGAGTCGCCGAGGCGGGCGGTGGTGGCGGTGGTGACGGTGGAGGGGTTGGGCCTGGCGGAGGACTGGCTGCGGCGGCGGTGCTGGCCGGCGGCGGCGGCGGCGGCTCCGTCCATGCTCGATCCGGCGGCGGAGGCGGGGGAGGAGGAATCGAGCGGCGTGGTCGTCACTCCGGCGGCGAAGCTTGGGCAGACATGTCTTCTTCTTCTTCTTCTTCTTCTTCAGTTCTTCTTCCGGTGGGTTGGATATTTTCAGGTTTTTTTTTAATATTTTTTAATGGGTTGGGTGAGTTGGGCGGCGAGGCTGAATGCACGCGCGGGAAGGAGCGTGCAATGCTTACGCCCCTCATTTGTCGCCGGGCTTGCGGTTGAATTTTTTCTTTTCTTGTTTTAATTCGTGAATTTTTAAGGCATTTTTGCCCATTACTATTAATTTTTCAGGACCTAATTTTCGCAAAAACTATTCCCGCGATCCGTAATCCGTTCTTTATTTCCTTGGCTAACCCTATTTTGCGGACAAAATTGGACATAAATCTCTTTTCAATTTGGTACGCACGTTTTTATGAATGCATTAAATTTTAAAAGTTATGCATATTCATAAAAAAAAAGATTTCTCTCATCCGTTTTTTCCGCTTTTTTTATGTCGTGGCTTGCAATTATAGGGGTTTGGGACTTTTTATTGTTTGCCGAAATCCCGTTTTCTCTTTTTGGCTGCCGCTAAAAAACAGTATTTCTAAATAATTAAATTAAAAATTTATATATATAGTGAGAGAGAGAGAAAATTAGGTGGGAGGATCCGGGTACAGAGTTAAGAGAAGGGGACGCGCCGTGGCCGCGCGTGGGATTCTTTGGGGGGGGGGGAGGGGGGGATACGATCATCATGCGAGACCGCCAGAAATGAAAATATCTAACGGCGGCGTTCCATTGGACAAGCGTTGCCACGTCGACAAAAAGTGCTCCACTCTCTCTCTATCCTCCCCCTAGAAATATCTCCCCAAGTTCCCAACAGGCAACAGCCACTTCAAGCAAAAACGACACGTCGTTTAACTGCTGTCCCCCCGGCTAATAATAAAATTTGTATTCCTCGGAGGTGACTTTCTAACCTAGAAAAAAAATTTCGTTGGTAACTTTAGTTCGGGTTCGGACTTGCAAGAATCCAGGACCGAGCTCATCTATGTTAGATTTCTGAAACCGTTGCGTGAAAAGGAATCCGAACCAAAATGAACCGTCAAGTCTCTCCTCGATTAATCCTAAGTCATTGATTTTTTTTTTTCCATTTTAGGTGGACATTGTTGGAGCGCCAGCCGATAATGCCGAGAAGAAGACGAGGATCGTCGGAGACGGCTGGTTATCTGTTTGTGAAGAAGAGAATACGGCAAGTCCGAGAAGGAGGATTTCGGCGAGCAGGCGTGTCTTACCGTATCGGAGCTGAAACTCCGATTACACGCGATTCCGTCGTACGATAAGAAGGGAGAGAAGTACAAATCCACACAGATTGTGATGCGATTTCAATTTGTATGATTAGATAAGCAGAAAACTATTTCATGTCATTCCGGGCTGTGATTATATTATTGGATTTGCATAGTGGTGCAGATGAAGTTGTTGTGTAGAGATTTCTCTATCTGCAGTTGCAATGAATGACAACGGGTTATCATGTCATAGAGAAAATTTCGAATAATGCCTATTCATTCTACACGTTCAGCTTGATTTTGGAGTTGGTGGGTGGTTCCACAATGGTGACTTTGTCTCTTGACCTTGCAAAAAATGATGTCCTCGATGGTTATGTTGTGGCTACTTTTCACACGTCTTCTTCAGCCACCGTTTTATGACTGGCTGGGCTTTGGTGGGTCCTTGTTTCGGGCCGATGGTGGTAATAACGTCAGACCATCGTTTTCTTTGAGATTGAAAATAACGTCAGACCATCGTTTTCTCCATCTGCTTTTTTCCCTCCAACAGTAATTTTCTTCATTGGCGTCTGTATGAAATCATCTTCTTCTTCTTTTGTCAACCGACTCATCAAGTTCAACGGAATAACATTGTAAGGCATACCAGCACGCACTCACATTTTACATCTGCCAAGACTGAGGGAACCAGTGACATTTGATCATGCGATGGAACTGTCAGAGCTTCCTTATAGTCCTTAAAAGATGACTTTATTCAGGCAGTAAATGAGCGCTCGAGTGAATAGACCATTCGCTCAGACAACTCTCGACCGACCGCCCTCATGTACCTCCGCACTCGGGCTTCCAGGCATCTCTGCTCATCAAGATCATAGGCCCCTTGCAGATCCTTCATGGAAGAAATAGACCAGTGAGTCATCTGGTATATCAAGTGTACATACTGGAAAATCATGAGACGGATAACCCATTGGGGGCATGAATTAAAGAAAAGCGGGGCACTGGCTGAAGAACTGTCCAGACAAATAACCCACTGGCTTCTCCTCTCTATTTTAAACACCAAAAAGCCAGTGGAAACGCAAAATGACATTCAACAGTGGAACGTCAAATAACCGAAGCCAAAAGGAGCTTGCCAACCAATAAGAAAGGAGATTTAGAGTTGCCAATGAACTATTCATACCTTGTATCTCAGGCGGGACCCCCATAACTTTATTAGAGTATTTCCAATTTCATCATCCTCTGTTTCAGAGAGTTACACATTAGAGCTATCAGACTCTTGCTCTTCAAGGTCAACCATTTCTCCATCTTCAACTAAAAGATCATTCAAGTCCTTATGCTCACTTTCGTCATGCTGATGTTCACTGACATGGTCAGCAACTGGAGGCAGCAACGGCTCTTCATCTCGGTCTTTATAATCGGACAGGACAATATACTTTCTTTCTTTTTTTGCTAAATTACAGGACAATATACTTACTTCTGTCAAGCAGAGGCTTTGCAACGTTGAAGGGAACCCACCTGAGATATGCATTAACTAGCTTGCACATTAACTTTGATAATATGCAGAGGTACTATTGCACATGCAAAAGAATAATAGAGCTTACATAATGACTATTAAGTGTGAAGTAGTTGAACTAGGGGGGATGATGAATTTGAAAGTTAACTTCCTCGCATTTGGAAGACCCTTAAAAATAAAGTTTCATGCAAAGAAGAAAGAAACTGCCAGAGGGACGTACTGGTAACGGAGGGGACATAGAAGCTCAGATGGCTGATACGCTGCTTTATATCTAATCTTGCTGCATGAATGAATGTAATAGCCAAGGTAATAATACTGAAGACTCGGGCAGTGTACTTGATTCTCCTTCACCCAAGATATTTCTTGCAAAGCCGAATATTTTCCCAAAAATAAAAAGGCAAAGTCAGGGTCCCAAAATAAATATTTACTCGACAAGCATTTCGGTAGGATATCCACCACACCAACCGCAACTAATCGGCCATCAATAACATATGTCTGATGGAAAGACCCAAAACCGCAGGGAGGAACTGAACCATCACCAATGGAGGGAACATAAACCAATGGTGTGTCACTGGTTCGTCATTGTGAGAAGGTCTGGATGTGTCCCTGGAGGGAACTGAACCATCACCCAAAAATCTCCTGTACTCGCTCTCTGTGAGAAGGTCCGGATCGTCATTGTGCACTTTCAACTGATATCGTCTGTACAGCTCGAATTCTTCAGGCTCAAAAGTGGATCTTTTCAGAAGAATCTCAAGCTTCCGCCTTTTTCCTGAACAACAGTTGCAGCACCTCATCAAACATCTTCTCTTGTTTCCACTTCTCGTTGAAGACTCTTTAGAGAGAGGTTTTTCTTGGCCAGCCTTATCCGCTGAAGTGTGCTCTGCAATAGAATAAAATTTAAGATGTCCGTCACATGCTTGGATCAAGAGGCCAGATGGTTCACCCATCTGAGACAATGACTGTGCCAACTTTTCTCCAATAATTTGAGGTGGCAGCTCAGAAGGCGGCTGGTCCTCTGCTGAATTTCCAGAGAATTCTGAATGCTTTTCATCCTTTTTTTCTGACCGTGCCCGCCTTAAAGCAGCAGCCAATTGGAAAGCAATGTTACTGGTATACAAGAGATTTTCTAATCCTTTGACTAGCTTCTTCCTTTTGGTCGGGGAGACTCCCTTGACAGAAGCTTTAGGTAATTGAAGATTGGCAGGAAACGTCTCACTTTCAATGCATGTATGCACTGCCTTTTCAATTGCATCAGACGAGTAATGCATAAATTGCTCTGGCTCATTCTTTTCCTCCTCCTTTGCCCACAGAAGGTTCAACTGTGCTTGACCTTCCATGACATTCACAATCACATGCCACTTTAGAAGTACTTAAATCCTCCAGGAGCTCATACTTGGCTTCGGTGTCTAGTGTACCATCCAAAAACCTAGAAACTAGTCACCATGGTGAGAATTTCTTGTACATTATATCCAGAGCATGCAACTTTGCTAAATCATCAGCTAAAAGGTATAATTTGGTTGACATGCACAAGAAGCTGAACAATTTTACCAACCATTGCACTTGTTAAGTTTAGCTTCATGTGGAGTAAAGAAGTCCGAGAAATTTCTCAAGGAGCGAAGAAAACAAAGCTCTTTCACTTAGAGAAATCTCCTAGGTTGGAAATCTTAGTGACGTCAAACTAAACTTCCACTCATGGAGTTATCCATCGAAATACCATTCCAATGCCTACTAGCCTAGCCTCGGAGTGAGCAAATAGTATTTTGATGACCAATGCTTCTAATCAATTGACAAATAATAGACTCCAAACTTGAATGCTGTCTTGCAAACAGGGTGGTGATCGATTTTGCAAAATGCAATGACGACAGAACAATAAAAAGTCACATGCGAAGATGCAACGATCCAATGAATAGAATCCATAATGTAGAGAGGTTATTAAAGTAATACCTTTCCATCCGTCTGTATGCTCGATTGTGCTCCTTGGAAGGAGTAAAGTCTGCTGCTTTTAAGCGGATAGTATAAGAAGGGCAACACGTAGTACTACTCATATCTGGCTTGCATAGTAAAGAGCCACACCTTCTCCATCCTGGATCAAGGAGATCTACAGGATGAGTATCAAAGTATGAATTGATATTCAAAAGAAAAATGCACAATCATTGAATGTACCATAACATCTATCCAACCCATTATTGCCACAGTAGGAAAACTAGCGGAGAAATCCAGTGGGTACATTTGAAGGAACAATAAAAGGAAAAGGAAGATATAGGAACACAAACGACTCAAGTCGGAACTTCAGCATGGACCGTAACTCCCACATGG